GGGGGGGGGGGTGGAAAAAAGGAAGGAAGGGAAAAGTGGTGCTGATGTGACGCTGATGGACGATCGTGATCAGCGCGGGGGTCGGGGCTGACCGTTCGGGTCGCATTAAAGGCGGATGCCGCGGTTGCTGCTGGCGACATAGTTGAGCAGCTCCTCGGAGTCCTCGCAGATGAACGGCTTTTCGTGGTAGCACGCTACGTCGTGCCAGGCGATGCCGTCGTTGTAGACGTTGTTCAAGACGGACATGCAGGATTCGTTCGTGCCGTTGATGTCGTACTCGGCGTTGTCCGGCTGCCTGACCTTCTTGTGGCCGGTCTGCGACCACGGATTGAAGCCCCAGCCGTTCGGCGCCTGGTTGGTGGGGGCCATCTTCTCGCGATTCGCTGACCAGAACCAGCCGTAGAGGGACTTCGGCTCGAGGTCACGCCGGTTCTCGCAGCCCTTGAAATCGCAGAGACGCCCGGACGTCCAGATGTACGGCACGTCATCTGCGGAAGAAGAAGAGGAGTTTCCGTGAGAAGGACTTGATGGAATTGACATTGAAAGTTATTCGCCGAGAGTAACTCGTTTACTGTTTCCCGTTACATATTGAGAAAAAGTTATTATCATGTCAAAATGTTTATAAAATCAACATAAAATCGATGTTTCAAAAGATTGATGTCTCTTGTTTATTGGGTACCTAAGATTCTTGGAATTAAGACTGTAATTCACAACTCGACGCTATTCTTGAAGAAAGTCAACTGAGAACGGAGTCGTCTTACTTTCGCCCGAGCGCGGCCGAGTGCAAGAAGATTCATTGCGAGCGCACGATGCTGCGATATAAAAAGATGAGAGCTCTCTAGCCTCAACCCACTTCGGGGAACCCCCGCATTTGCCTTGAAAAGTCGCGCTCGCCCAACTCGCCTCCGTAGCCTCTTCATCGTGGCGGGCGACTGTCGTCACGATCGCGCGATAATTGCGATCGGAGCGACAGTGAAATCTGACAAATCCATCCGCTCGTGGATGATTCGCGTTGATTCGTGTCGATTAGCGAGTTATCAGTTTCCGGTGGTTCGCCGGCGGTCGCATGATCGACACCGAGGTTTCAAATTTGTCCGAAGCGTCAATTAATCCCGCTCTTGAATTGATTCGCGTCAATTCGACCGTGTCGAAACGGCGATCCGAGTCGTCGCTCGTTGAGCAACGAAGAGCGATCGACGAGGTGGTCTCTGATTTCGATCAAATGCTCCGAAAACCTTTCGCGCGTCACAGGTTGAAAAGATACAGAATGAAAAGATACGAGAAAAAAGTTGTGGGATGAAACTTTATCTACAGAAAATGTTTGCCTTAGGTGATGCCTTAGATGATGAAGGAAAAAGTGTCATCAAAATAAAATAGGGGTGGTCAAGTCATCTTAAGATAATTTACGTAGAATGGTGAGACTTTTTTAGCAAAATGATGATAATCACCTGAAACAGTTTTCCTTACGGACTATATATTTAGTAATAGTTACCAAATATATCTCGTTTTCTACTATCAAGATTCGGTATTAATTACCAAAGTTTAGTTTAATGATTTAAATGTATTGTTCAAGCAACTAAATCTTAATTCTTAAAACTATATATTTACTTCATCCAATAAAATTATTTCGTAACTGTTGCCGAACGTTTGGCCCGCAACATTTCACCGAATTATTTAGTAACAGTCACTGAATTTTGTTATATATTACCAGATCCTCCTTTCAGTGTATAATATCGATCATTTCTACATTATACACGACGTAGTATGTGCACCGATAACTTCTCGTCGCGCCTTACACATCGTTCGCGTTTACGGTTCTCCGCTCGGTGTTAAAAAAAGGGACGGTACGGGGGAGAGGAGGAGGAGGATAGAAGGCGGTAAAGGCGTCGTAAAGCCGGTTAAGTTCCGAGCAAGACCCTTCGGTTAACAGTTCCTTGAGTGCACTTAAGAGTGTCGCAGCCGAAAGGTCGCTTCAAGAGACGCGGGGGAAAAGAAGGTACGGTGGTTGGAGGACTCTTCTGTGCGCGGGGAGGAGAGCGGCGTCGTTAATCATCCGAATCGGAAGGACGAAATGATGTGTGCCGTCGGGCTCGTTTCGAAATTGCCGAATGATCATCTCGTCCGCGTGGACGAAAGTTCGTAACCGCGATAAATCGTCGGTATTGACGTTAACGAGCTGCTACCGGCGGCGATTCTGCTCATTGTGCCGAAACTTTCTAAGCATCTTCTAAGATCTTATTTCAAGAAATTCTAAAATATTGTGAACAAAGTTTCAAACACCGTTTTAAGAACGCGTTGAATTCTCGAAGAACATTAAATTGTCAAATGATTTTCGGGCGTTCAATACGGACTTTAAAGCCATTGTACCGTCACGGTCATCGTGGAGGGGCCTGTAAAGTCGGACTTGCTATCGCACGAGGACCGAAATCGCCGATTCGTGAGCCACCGTTCGCGGCTTCGCAGCGGGTCGCATCCCGACGCGCCGATAAATCACACGCGCGAGATAAGAGATCGAGTGAGATTGAGTGAACTCGATAGATCGCCCGTTATCGGCGAAACCGGCGCGATCCGCTACCGGAAGGAAGCATTCCGCCCGGGACTCGTACGTCAATTTGTGCTAATTATGCAATTTCGCGGCGCGATAATGTAGCGTAAATTAAGATATCCGGCGCGTGTGTCATCATCACTCTCGACGATGCATGGAGAAAACAAATGTTGCTAGAACAGCAAATGTTTGTCAATATAGTGGCAGCGAAAAAGAATTTGTTTAGACAGCAAAAAATCCGTTCGAACAGCGGAAAGATTCGTTAAGAGTATTAATTATCTGCTGAATATATGGACAATTATTTAACTAAATCGATAAACATTTGCTGTTCCGGCAAAATTTATTTTCTCCATGTATGACCGCCAAATTCGTCGCAAAACCTTACCCGGCATCTTGGAATTTTTTCGAGCGGAATCTCAATCAGAACGCGTGAAAAGTAATAGTATTTTCACTTTATAAGCGCAAATACTGCCATTCTAAGTCGCAAGAGTGAATATCTCAGTGAAACTTCGGATTGATTTGGATTTTATACGAACGTTACGATTGGACATTTCGATCGATTAAAGTGAATCTGTCCCCGTGACGGTGAAACAATCAAATCATCCTTTGAAGTTTTGAATTAAAATATTCGCTTGACGATTCAAAGTGGAGAACTCATTCTGAATCGTCGATGAGAAAATTATTCAAATCCGAATAACTTGATTTGTCTCATTCGGTCACAACGGGGGCGATTTCGCTGGAAAATTTTATGACGTAATAACTGTCTTGTGTACGGAAAGTGAACATTTTTCGCAACATTTTTCACCTCGATAAATTTCCCCTTATGACGATTTTTCACTGTTTTTCGCATTTATGTGGCACGTTTTTGGCCCATTTTCTTTTAACATCCTTTATTTGTATTATTTCAAAATGTGCAATATGAATGATCATGCGTGTTAAATGAGTGTTTTGCACTCTTAACTGAATGTACATTTTTACCACTTAGATATATTCTCGTACGATTCGATTTTACTATTCGTTTTTATTCTAAATGGCTCCTTTTGCGACTTAAAAGCGGAGTCGTACCTTTTGAGCGGAATTCACGCTTTCACCAGTTCTCAAACTGACTGTTTACGCGCAGCTAAAACGGGCTAAAAACGGCGAAATATTTTTATAATTATTGAAATTTTCTAGAATTACCGATAAACGAAGCAACAACTTCTCCCATTGGTTACCATTGTTGAAATTCACCAAGGCGAATGCGACGCAACCTTTCCACATACGACATTGCAACAGTTACAACGTCGTGACGGGACAGTGACGACGAGCCAACGAATTCAACGAAACGATACGCAAGAGATCTCGCGTTCAGAATAAAAATGATTTTCCCGGCCTGTTCTTTTTCTTTCCTCCACGAGAACTATCGCAACTGCAAGCACGACGCGCGCGCTATTCTTTATTCATGAACGAGAATGGGGCCGGCCGACTCGATCCTTTGATCGCGCATCGGTCTCGCATTTGCAGTTGCGACAATAAGTGTGATTCACGTCGGAACGATGCGCGTTACTCGCCAATGAGAGTTTCACGAGAATCGTCAGGCCGTCGCGCGAAACAACTACTCACTCTGTTGAATGAACCTGAAGATCATGTTATTCTCTTCTTGGGTCTCCATCGAGATCAAGTCCATGCAGTACTCCCGGCAAATGTTTCTCGCATCCAGCCAATCCACCTTCTGATTGGCGTGAGCCGGCACGTGCCCGCTGTAGAAATAGTTGTGGCCTCGGAAGTTCAACTGCTTCGGCCCTGAAATGTATAGAAATAATTGTATTAATGAGAAAATTGAATGGAACGGAAATAAAATGATTAGATGAAAAATAAATTGAATAAACTTGAAATCGAAAGAGAAAATCGAATAAAATATTAAAGTATCGGGATAACAAGAATTTTCTTCTCCAAACTACAAGAGTATATATATATATAAGAGTATATATATACCTAACGGCAGACATCAGTATATTAAACTTTGACCCTTGAATCTTGAACTTGTCGTTAAAGGCAGTAGTTGTCATATATTTGTAGATTACACTATTCGGAACAAAAATGTGCAAAATAGTGACAGAATTTTTTGTTCCGAATAGTCTAATTCTGTCACTATTTTGCAAATAACACGCAAATTGTTAAGTTATTAATTAAAGAAACCTCTATAAATGGCCGTTTTTAATCATTGATAACTCGAAATTTTGCGTGTTATTTGCAAAATGTTATAGGATTTTTCTACTCAGTTCCACCCGTTATACTTACATACCACGGGAATCGAGATTAGTTTGGGACACCCTGTATATATATATATATATATATATATATACATATATATATGAAAGGCTATAAATTATATAATAGCTTTTAAATAACGAAAGTTGAAATGAGTTAAAAAGTTTTAAAATTATGTGAAAATGTTACGTATGCGATGTTAAGATGACGAAGTGATTAAAAAAGTTTTAATTTGGGGAATAATACGACATATAGACATGACAGCAATCAGTACATCGCCATCTGTTCCTCTTTCGACGCTGAAAAGTAGACATTGAAAATAATATTTCGTACTCCAAGGACGACAAAGCGAGAGATCCGAACGTGAGAGAGTAACGTAAGTAGCGTTGTATCTATATTGTGCCGCGTGTCTCGATAATCGCAAATAAGAATATTAGCTTCTCCCCATCATCGTCGCATTATTCATAGCGGTTGTCACTCGGGCTGCCGCAGAAAGAATGGTAAATCGTCGATTATATCGGGCCTCGCAATCGCTCGTTCCTCTCTATCGCTTTTTTTTTGCCTGTTAACAGGCTCTCGATTCGATTCATCCGTGGCTAATAGTTCAGGGGTCAAACAGCTGTTGAGATGAGGTAATCGGTAGATCTCTGCTCGCCGGGAACGAGAACGTGTCTGAGTTAAATCGGCCGTCTCCACTTGGATCGCGCGGTGGGCGCAAAAAACTCGCCTCTCTCGTGCGAAAGGTCGAACGAATCGTATGGAAAAATTCCCCGCCTCGATTCTTCGTCAATCATCGACGTCACGTCGCACTTGACTAACCTAGTTGGTTCAACATGTCAAATTGTAGCTCGCAAATAGGCTTTCTCTGTGTTCTTTTAGATCCAAATTTAGATCAGTGTATTAGACAAATATAAATCAATATACTGAGCTTTTCAAAAATATGGAAACGGTCAAATAACTCGTCAGGAATGCATATTAGAAAAAAATGTTACAACATGTTGGATTTCGAAAAACCTATCTGACTGTTAAGGTCCATTTGGGCCCTTTAAACGTCACCTACAAATGGAACGTTCCAAATGAGAATAATCTCTTAAACTCTCTTTTTTCTTTCTTTTTGTAGAATTCTTATAATTGATTTCTTATAATAGATTCTTATAATAGATTCATGCAGTCTACTGTTATTAGCAAATAAATCAGTTCCACAACAATAACGTTTTAGCTCTTATTTGCTTCTTCTCTATTATACGATTATATCAAATATAATAGTAATAGTAATACAATAGTATTGCTCTCTTTGCTTCTCCCGCATCTCTCTCGCATCTCGAGATATATACTTTCAATCACGATCTAAAATGGAAGTACACCTCGTGCAATTAATAGAAAACGAGTGAGTGTGTTTCGTTATTTCCCGGATTTAAATACAAACGATGCGTAAAATTGGAGAAAATGTCGAATCAACGTTCCACGTGAGAATTTTTGTCGCTCAGTATCGATTTTAGAATACGACATGCTGCGAAAAGCATAACTTATAAGCAAATTTGTTCCCATCGATTCGGAAATCAGTAGGCAGAACGCAATATCGAAAGAATATTACCGTCTTGCTTTTGAATTCTTTGAAGAGAATTATCTCAGTAAAAGATTAAAAAAATGCTTGTAACAAGATTAGTCATTTTCGGCAATTCAACTGTATTTTCTTCTGCTTTAATCCAAAAAATAGTGTAGCAAAATATTTAATTTAATCCAAAAAATAATATAGTATAGTAAAATAGTAACAATATGCACGTAAGGCTACTATCATTGACTCTACAATAACACTTACTATACATATTGAGAGGGAAAATATCTGAAAAATAAAAATATGTATTTCGGATACTAATAATATATTTACTTAAATTGAAATAATATATTTACATAATATATTTACTTCAATTATATTTTTTTACTTGAATAGAATATGTAATTGCTTTCACGAAAAGCTAAGAATTTAAGAAAATGTGTGTAATTTCTCAACTGAAAACAATTTTTTGTCAGATTAAAAATACGTTTTTGATGTAAGAAAATATGTCGTTAATACCTATCGAAAATATATTTTCCATCTCTCAGGGAGTTCTTTTCTTCCTTCAGTATAGAAAAATGTTTCTCCCGACTGTAATTCTTCCACTTGTGCGATTATAGTTGCAAGTATCAGATATTTTTCTATTTTCCGTACGCCGATTCAATTCACTAGGATTTCGCTATTTCGTGTATCGTTCCGATGAGTTTCGCAACTTATCCGAGTTTTCCGCCTCTTTCCCCCAGCGCTGCTATGAGCGCGGACATACGCCGTTTCACCTCCCGACCCCGCTTCTCCCGGCGTTTTACTTCGCCGGTAGGGAATCTGTAATCGGCGGCGGCGGCGGCGCGTCATTATCGTCCGTTTTAAATGTCAACGGTCTTATACTTTTTCCCGGTATTTATGCAGGTATGCCTCTCCCCGTCGACGATTTACGACGTGTGTCTCATTATGAGCGCCTAACGCCGCGTTACGAAACACACACGGTATCGTCGGGCCGCCGCCGTTACAAGGAGCGTCTCTCTCTCTCTCTCTCTTTCTCGCCCGCTGTGACATAACGTTTTATATTCCGCGCGATCCCCTCGGCATATCTGTTCCTTTTCTTCTTCTTCTGCTTCTGCCGCTTCTGCTTCTTCATCATTTTATTCTCCCACCCGCTTCACTCGAGTCAATTTTTCGAGTTCGCCGCTCGCGACACTCATAACCTACATTTCGCCGTTATTGCCACACCGATTTGTCGCGCGATTTTACGCGAATTTCAAACGCCCAGGAAACGTGTTTTCGCTCTTCTTCCCCCCAGTCTATCCGTCTGTCTCTGTCCATCTCTCTCTGATTGCATATTGGATAACAGAAAATTTACATTATATTCAAAATTCCATATTCGCCAAACTCGAGGAAGGACATCGGAAATTTCAATTTGGCGCTTGTCCTGTCGGAGAAATAAAATCAAATATTCCGATAGAATATAACAACCTAAAAGAAAAAAAAAACAACGACAACTGGCATATTCTAACTTGATATGTTAACGAGAAATCCGTATTACTCGCATCCATCGTCCGAGAATGATTCTATCTAGACGAGCCATCGAGAAACAACACGATTAAATTCTTTTGGTCTTCATCAAATCCCTGCTGTATGATTTACGCGTTGTAACGTAAAACGACGTTGCTTCGTTGCACTTTCCGGGGAAGCCGATGATACATATGTAAAGCGTGTCATTTTAAATTAAATTCTCTGTTATCAGCGCTGATTAAAAGAATTTCCCTATTCGCGCACTGAAAGAAATGAACGATTTCGCCTGGAATTCTCAGCGGCAGGCTGAACACGCTAATGCCAGAGGTCGGCGGCGCTGGTCGCGATGATTTTGCAGACGGCCGCGATCTTTTTTACACGCGCCTTGCAACATTGTAATTTAACAAACAACCGTCGTCCCTGCGAGCCGCCGCTTTCGCGATTCCCTCCGTGAACGGATCGACTATGAAACGAGTGAAGAACAGAGAAGACGCCGAGATCGCTCGGCTTACTTTTGACGTATCACGGCGAACGTAATTTCAGACTGTAATTTTAGACGCACGCCGGCATCCGCGTCGACCACGGAGAAGCGATTCGTTCACACGGAGTAAACAAATTCTGCTGGAACAGCGAATGTTTGTCGATATAGCGACGGTAGAAAAAAAAATTTGTTCAGACAGCACAAAATTCGTCCGGACAGCGGAAAAATTTGTTTCGAGAGTATTAATTGTCCATGTATATATTTGCAGCAAATAACGATTAACACTCTTAAGAAATCTCTCTGCTGTCCAAACAAATTTTTTGCTCTCTAAACAAATTTCTTTTGCTGTCGCTATATTAACGAATATTTGCTGTTCCGGCAAAAATTTTTTTCTCCGTGCGCGTGTGTTGCAGAATTAATCTTCTTTCTGCATACAGAGCTATTTTTTGAATTAATTTTCCTAACTTTTCTACGTCTATCTTCTTAAAAGTCAATAAAACTTCACAAATTCTTGCGCAGCCAAAGTTCTCTTTTCTTTACATTTTGCACTGGAAATGCATGAGGTGTTTAATAGATACTCCTGTACGCGGTTAACGTTAAAATATTTGTACACAGAGAGAAGGTTAAACGTTTAACATAGAGCGAAAAAAGACGAATCGGTGAAATATGAATTTCGATGGCCCTTCAAGGGCAAAATTTCGAGCCATGGACGATGAATCGTTGGCCAATTGTCGAGTGTTCGATTCGCCGCGCTCCGCCGCGGTGGAAAGGCGCGATTAGCGTATACGATTGTGTTGCACTCGAGGAAGAAGGACCATCTGTCAGAGTTTACGACATAGGACAAAGTCGTGATTCCCGTTGTCAGTATAAATTTAACGCAGAGATCTCGTGGAATGGAAGATAAGGATTAATCCCAGCCGCGCGTCGTTATTTCCAAACGACGCGCGTTATGCGGCTTGATATACGACACTTGGGATCGAACCCGAG